TGAAGCTTTCCTAACAAAGATAAAGCCAACGATTTTCTGTCTTGTTTCAAAAGCCTTACCTCTCCCCCGCCTGGCTCCAGCCTTTCCCACAGGCCAATGTGGAGTGCGGCTCTACCACAGGGGTGATCTAGCAGACAGCAGCCGGTCCTTTCTAATATCTTCAGCCTCGACCCCTAGAGAGAGAGGTTTAAAAGATCGTTTTGAAAATTTGGCTCCTATTTGCCTTATTTTGTGTACAAGAAATGTGTCCAACACACCCTTTACCAAAGAAACACACACATGTCTCTTATCATTCCATTTTTCCTCGTTTTCTCTTTCTTTTAAATACAAATATAGTAACAATTGCTCCATTAAGACACCCATCCCATACTCAAATACTAAAATCTGGTAAGCCCGGTCCTCCGTCCCCCAGCAAGAGTTCTTAGCTTCTTTGGCAAAAATAATCCAGACATCAGGATCTCAATTTTATAAAAGTAATTCCTTTACATTGTTCTTTACAGGGCGGGGGGAGGGATGGGGATGGACAACTAAAAAGAAAATTTCAATTTCTTCAAGCATCTTTATTAATGTCACCAAAAGTATACACAGCATCACCCGAAGAAGCCAAGAAAGTGAGAGAAACATAAACCACCGTTGTTCTTTTGAAAAGAGCCCCTCTCCCCCAATTTGGGTTTACATTATTAGATGAAGTCTTTACAGTACAATACGGGATGGAAGAAAGACTACGTCCCAGTTGGGGACATTCATGTTCTTGAAAGCCACTGAACTCACGGCATCCCCTTGGATAAGTCATTTCCCTTTTCTAGGACAGGTCCAAGTTCATAAACAGAACAGATTTATTTCTTAGACACTGCTGCCTCCAGCATCCCTGCTGTTTCTTAAATAAGTAGCTGGGGGAGAGGTGAAGCGCCGGAGTTTATTCTGGCCTCCCTGCAGGTCCTCTGGGTCTGGCCTAATTATACTGCCTCGGGGCACACCCAGCTGCCTTACCCCTCTACCAGCTCCTGCAGAGCTGATCTCTCCGGCGATAATGTACATCTCTAAACTCTGTCCTTGAGGTCAAGGATTTAGGAGGCCTCTCCCTGGAGACCCTCGGGGCCTCGGCTCTCAGAAGGTCTCTAGCATCATCCTGAGAAGTGAGAGCCTGAGCCTGGTTTGAGC